ATTCCAAGACAAGGTAAAAATCAACTTAACCGATCATTAAAATTAAATATCATTCTTTTGCAATAAAATCAACAGTCGAATAGTCGAACTTGTTCAAAGTCCATTTTACGAGTATATACAGGCTGTTCCGTCTAAACCCCACTTTAGAAGTATTGGGAGTTGGAATAATTGTATTTATTTGAAAATTGGTACATAGCCAAAAACCATTAAGTCCTCCTAAATGAAAATATTTTCAAGATGGCGGCACTTCCGGTTATACCGGAAGTCGATCTCAACTTTCTTATTTTAAATAGAAACGTATATTTTTTTACTGCGTTTTTGGAGTAATCGAGTTATTTTCAGGGACTTTTCATCAGTTTTCCTTATACCTAAATTTAGCCGTTTTTGAAATAATTGGAGTTTTTCAAAAATTTTTGTATTTGCACCTTCCACTTTAAAAACCGGTAACTCTGCCATTTTTTTTAGATTTGAAATTCCTTTTTTTGGCGTTTGAAAGAGAAAGCTTAGATCCTTTTTCTCGTGTTTTCAAATTTTGAAAAAAAAATAACATATTCCAAAATTTTAAGGTTACTTTTGTAATAATTCAAATACTCATAACTCAATTTTTTCAAATGAAATACCCCAATTTTTATTTTACTAAAAAGAAGAGAATTTAATTGTGCATTGATCTGTATTAACATTCCCTATACCTAAATTTAATAATTTTCAAGTTATGGACTTTTCTTTAATACTACAGAAAATTTATTACCAGCCATATCCGTTTTCACATAGTTTGCTATGGAAATCAAAAATGTCAAAATTGTTTCTCAGTAAACGTCGACAGTGACTTATTATTTGCCAAATAGTGCCAAAATATGGAGAATCAAAGTTATGCAAACTTAATTATTATTGATAGGTTCTACCATGCAATCATTCATTACTTAAAGCTAACAAGTGAGAAAATTTTATTTTTGCTTAATGAACGATATCATAATTTTGTTACACTCTCCATAAATACAAAATAAATTAATTAAATCTAAGTTTGAGTAGCTTTGACTCTCCATATTTTGGCACTGTTTATCAAATAATAAGTCACTGTCGACATTTACTGAGAAACAATTTTGACATTTTTTATTTCCATAGCAAACTATACGAAAACGAATGTGGCTAATAACAGATTTTCGGCAGTCTGAACAAAAAGTCACCATAACTTAAAAATTATTAAATTTAGGTATAGGGAATGTTAATACAGATCGATACAGAATTAAATTCTCCTCCATTTAGTATATTCAAAATTGGGGTACTTCATTTTAAAAAATTGAGTTATGGGTATTTGAATTATTACAAAAGTAACCTTAAAATTTTATGGTTTGTTAATTTTTTTTTCAAAATTTTAAAACACCGAAAGAAAGATCTAAACTTTCTCTTTCAAACACCAAAAAAACGAATTCAAAATTTTAAAAAATAGTAGAGTTACCGGTTTTTAAAGTGGAAGGTGCAAATCCAAAAATTTTTGAAAAACTCCAAATATTTCAAAAACGGCTAAATTTAGGTATAGAGAAAGCTGATGAAAATTCCCTTAAAATAACCCAATTAATCCAAAAACGCAGTAAAAAATATACCTTTCCATTTAAAATAAGAATGTTGAGACCGACTTCCCGTATAAGCGGAAGTGCCGCCATCTTGAAAATATTTTCATTTAGGAGGACTTTATGGTTTATGGCTATGTACCAATTTTCAAATAAATACGATTATTGCAACTCCCAAACTAAACTGGGATTCCTCCCAGACTCCCAAACTCCTAAACTGGGATTTAGTCGGAACACCCTGTATATTATATTGATTTGGTTATAAATTAATTACGCTTCCTAAACAGTTCTTGCATTAGTATGTTTTTTTGTCTTCAACATCACGTTTGATTTTAACATTAAGTAAAGTTTATAACGACTCTACATGCAACATTGATAAAAAATTAAATTTTATTTTATTAATTAAAACAGAAAATTCTACCTGTAAGCAGAATATTTTGCCACTTTATTTTTTAGAGGCAACATAGCGCAAGACTTTGCGTTAATAGACTTATTAAGGCCGAGATTTGTTTAAAACTTTTATGACTACAAAAGAAGAAAATTGGTGGAGGCGCCGGGCCAGCATACCTGCTCGGTGAAAAATGTGTAACTTAGCTGCTTCTAAAATTATTCAAATGCTGCTTTAAGTTATTTAAATGAAATTTAAGTTGTTTTAAAAAAATGTCGTATACTCAGCTCGAAGAAGCCGTTTTACAATTCAAATGAATTTTATTTTTCTTCATATAGTCCAGACTCGGAGAAAATTAAGAAAATAAAACTCAAAACAGAATGTTGTAAGCCAGTTAAACGCTTTTCCTTTTAACATTTTACTTGCTTGTTTATAAATTCTAATCGTAAGTAACATAAATAAATAAGTAAGCAAGGTTTGATTATTTAATTTTTAATTACTCGACAACTAAAATTATAGATTTGCTTAAAAGATTACAAATCTATTTATATTTCTTACTAGATTTTCATTTCTTTGCAAATACCGCAAGCATATCGACCGAATAAAGTAAATTTGCATCAATGAATAATTTTAAATAGTTTTAAATAATTTATGCAAAGTAATAAGTTAGCTACATAACTTTTAAATCAATATATAATATATCATAAATAAATATATAATATACTTATACACTAATAAATAAAGCAAACAAAAATTGAAATATTTTGTAACGAAACTTGCTGAATATTCGGTTTAAAATCTAAATTATTTTGGTACAAAATTTCAAAGTTATATTACGCAAAATTTTTTTGCTTCTCATATGAACGTTGCTTACAGTACAAGTTAGAACGTAGCATGTGGCAATATATACGGACCTTTTAAAGATAACTGAATTTTGTTCTTTTCCAATTCAGCAAACTCACTTTTATGAGTTCACTAACTTTCAAAAATTAGGTCAAATTATTTTTGAACTTTCTTTATGCACAAATATAATAATAAATGTTGGCGTTGTTCATTTAACTTCATCTATCTTAAATATGCCTGCACTTTATTTTATTCACAAGTGGCTTTGCGTAAATCTGCAACTTAAAAATTTATTATATTACTTTTTAGAAGTTTGCAAAGCAATAAGGTATACACCAAAGTCAACGATTTAAATCAGCTTTTAAAGCTTAACATTAAGTATTTAGCAGCTTAAAATTAACAGCTACGTTTACGAAACGCAGAAGATAAACGCTTAGAAAAGCCACGCGTAGCTTGCGGACAACCAATTATAAAGCTCTGCTTGGTAACTAAGCATTGGGTTTGTTTGTAATTGTATTGTGTGTAGGCTCTTCAAAGTACTATCTTTTACAGGCTTATTCATACATCATGGCCTTACTATAATAATTTTCTTAGGTTTCAAAGTCTCAAAACAATAGGACAATGAGCTAAATCATACAAGACTAGTAGTACATTGTTCCAAAAAGAACAATGATTATACTTTATAATATTGATTTTTATTTTCCAACGTTAATATCTTATAATTATTATATTTTTGTGATGCATTTAAGCTTACATACCTGTTATGTTGCCTTTAATATACATTCTTCTTAAAAAGTACGTCGTCAATCACAACGCATTTTATAAGTTACATAAAATATACTTATCTTGGTATTTTACCAATTTTGGCAAGTTTTTTTTGTTACAATTTTTTTAATTTAGTAGAATTTCTGAACTACTCGTAATGTTAGTGTTAAATTTTTTTTTGAAGCAACAAAAGTTTTATAGTTTAAAAATAGCTACAGGATGTCAACATTCAATTTTCTAAAAAAATCTAAACTGTAATTTTGTATAACGTCCAGTCGCATTTTTGTAGTGCTAACAGAAATTAAATGCAGCACCGGTAGTAGTTTCTATTCAATAACTTCTTTAAATTAAAATTTTAATCTCAACGTCTTAAAATTATAACGTTAGTGTCGTGAGAGCAATGTATATACAACTTAATTTAAGAATTTACATACACACTTTGCATAGAGAGAACGATATACATAATTAAACTTATGCTAAAAAAGTATAACTAAATTTAAATTTTAATTTATGTCTAGTAGTAATGAATTAAAATTTATAAAAATTAAAGCATACTAGTAAAAAATACTCGTAACATGACAAAGAGTGTTGCATAAACGAATAAGTTTGACTATGCAATTCACATGTCATTTCTCAAATATTAACCAATAAAATAGCTGATATTTATTTTCGTCTTCTAACAACAGTGAGTATTTTAAACCAATTTGATTATTATTTTTATTTAAGAAAATTAACTTTTTTACAAAGTTAACTGAACAATTTGCAAATTTTTCAACTAGCTTTTGACATATTTTATTTTAATCATTGATTTGGTTCATTGAATAGTCTGTTGAAGACAATTTGTAGTCAGATTGTAGAATAATTTTATCCATGATCATTACGCTTCCGAACACCATTCGTGCTGGACACACGGTGTTCATAAAGCAAATGATCATTCATAAAAATATTCGACAGTCTATGACTATTCGTAGTATTATAACTGAGAATTTATTTTCTTGCGTCGTTTTGTAATTATGTTTAAAAAAGACTGACGACAAGCAACTGGAAATGAAGCACCTTCATAAAAAGCATTTATTTAAAATTAAATGAGGGATAGTAAGATAATTTCGAGTCCTTCCAACTGTTTACAAGGCAATTTATTTTTAGTAGCAAACTTAAGAGGAATTAACTTAAAGCGCCTACTTCGCCAAGTTTAACTTCTTGTGCAAGGGAAGAAACATGAGATGCGTCTAAGTTAAATGCTAATATTAGTTCAGAGTTTTGCTGGGCGTCCCTTATAAAATAGAATTTTCCCTAGTTATGATCCGGTGGAAACCTTTTTTTGCCGCAGACAGGATATTTCCAATCTCTTTTTTTTATAGTCATACCATTTGAAAATATTTTTGTGTTTGCAGATAGGATTAGGGCACAATTCTGATTCACTTCTGTTGTTGTAGGGAGGCACGTGAGGAACACAGAGTCGAACGGCATATCAGTTCTAGGAGAATTTAATCACGGTAAGTCGTTATCATAACTGTTAAGTAGGACAATAAGTACAATACCTGAGACTCACATATACGACTTTGGAAGAAAAAACGGCTATTGCTTTCATATAAAGGTTTTATATGGTATAATAAAAAGGGAAACGAGATTAAGGCGAAGGTTGCGAACTGAAATGGTCTAATGCAAGCAGCACATTGAATACACAATGCTGACCCTCCCCGTTGGCTGTGCGGATTAACCCCGCTGTGGACAAATGCTCGACATTGATTGAACATTGCTTGATAGCAGCCAGTTCCAAACAATAATCTCACTTTATCCTTTATTTACCGGAAAAACACGCACCGATCAAATGGATTCCAACACGACTCGAGGCAGAGTTGCATTTATGCATCCGTGAAGTATTTCTTACAAAATATTACTCATGTTACTAACCACTGAATGATTTTCTAGTCTTCCTTTATTGAGTTTAAACAGTACAGAGTTATTAATTTGTTTGTATTTCTCGGTAGTCGTGATTAATTTAATTATGAAACCTGAAAAACAATTTTTTTCAAGTTAGATATTTGGACATTACTTTATGATTGGTCTCCGATGTTGGTGAAATAGCTTTTAGAGCTGCTCTCACTTACATCGTTGAGTCTTAATTCTCAAGAGCCTCACTTATACGAGGTCATCTTAGAACTACTCCGTTTATATTTTCCACAGTTTTCGCTGTTCGTGACTATTTCCGACCAGTTATATCGGTAACTAACGACGTTACAAATAATAATAACAATAAAAGTCTCTCTACTAAAAGACACCCTGTATGCGGTTATGAACTCCCCTGATATCCAAAAGAGCCTTAATTACCAAAACCGTTTGTAACCGGTCTCTTTTATTGTCCCTTTCTAAAACGTCTTTAATTTAATTTCGGTTTTTCTTTGTCTTTATTATGCACAGGAATTGACTATTTGAATCGTCCCATTTAGAAGTAAGTCCTACTTCCAATAGTCAACGATAAGGAGCTTAATTATTGGATGTTTTATTGCCACCTTTCGAGCCTCCGTTAAATAAAAAATACGTTAAGTGTGCGCGTGCCGAGTAGTTTATATTGACGTAAATGCGTTGTAACACGTGTTCATCCACACGCAAACACGTGGTGGAAGATCCAAGTGTTTACAAGACAATGACTGCAAGAGGGAGACATCCTTAAATCGAATTTCTACAAAACGAGATATAAGCTCCAAAGTCAATTTGTGAAAAGGATCTTTTCGAGGAGTGAGCAGACCTTTGCCAGCGTTGAGCGATAAAAACTTTATTGCATTTTCACTGAATTAAAATAATTCGCGAGAAAATTAACTCGAATTTAGTCACGAGCTTAGCGCAGGACAAGCTAACTTACTTTGTATATTAGGAACTGACTGTTGAAAAAAACATTCTTTAACGCTTTTCATTCCAAGATCTTGTCAAATAGTAAAAAAAAGCTAATATTAACTTTGTTTCCTGTTCTATTAAAATTTTGTTTTTAATTAAGTTTGCGCGCCCAAAGTTCTGTGTTTGCGCATAAAATAATGAATCATCAATTTCGTAAAGCTACAACTTGCCAGAAATTGTGCATGTATACATATAATACGGGAGCAAATTGATCGGTTAATTTAGAGCGAACGTACATACAATATGCTGATACAATCCACGAAAATGTTCTTTTAACCAAAGTGAAAGGAAGCTTGATAGCAAGCAATGTGTAATATAAAGATTATGGCAAGTTATCTTGAAAATGGTAATGCTTGCTGAAGACACTGAAGCTTCTTACGTGTAAGTTTAGAGGCTCTTGTTTGCAAATGGAGGCGTGGTGCATTCAAATTTCACATCGTCATATCCCGGACTCGAGATATTGAAGGCTATATCTGAAAATCGTTCAGGTTTTCTCAAGCGTATTTTTACCAACAGCTTCAATATTTTTACTCTAATTAAACGTGTAATTCGGTAACGGAATCAGTTTTGTACGATTTATATTAACACAACTAAAGCTCGGTAATTTGATAACTACTCTACAGGTTTTGAAGGTTTTAGTAAGCTTAAAACAATACAAACATTGCTGCCATTTTGGGGTTTTGTAGAAGGGATGGTCGTAAATTAAATATGAGCCCATAGATAGATAAGTTTCTATAGTAGTGCCTTTTAAATACGTTTTTACAACTTTTTTGGTTTTTACGACATCTTTTTTATACCAAGATAAGGTAGCTTTCAGACTAGGAATAGCTAGACAAGTGATGCGGAGGAATTTTGACCGAGATAGGGTTTTATTATGATATCGTAACGCCAAAATTTTCCAATCATATTAAATTTAATTGTACGGTAGTTTTAACAAAGCAACCTGCTTGAATTTTCACCTACGTGAGAATTTATATTTTGAGATCAACTCAAATAATGATGAAAACTGTAATTAGAGTTAAAATATTGTTAGGTTACGAAAGGGTTAGAACACTGGATATTGTTTACCTCCGAATCTTGAATTAACTCCGCAAATAAGGAAGTTTTTATTACATCCAGGAATATTTGCTATCTGCTAATTAATAATTTCGCAGCAGAAATATTGATTCATATTTAGACCACATTAAGAAGATATTGGTATAAAATTTAGCTGGTTTTGTTGGTTCACTTTTTATTTTATAACTTCCTCCTCATTTGGGCAAAATTAATACTACGTACAAATAAAAAAGATGATGTTGGTGGAAAGAAACACACAACGTAGTCTGAAAAACGATGTTCGTTTCGAGATGGTCGCGCTCGACCAACTCCCGGATTTTCCGGTATTCTGGATACGCGGAGATCACTTCGCAGACCCTTATCATTCTATTAGTGCGTAAACCATGAGCTTGAAACGTAGCCGTATTTTCATCATCGTTCTGCAACTTCAGCATATTCATATTTTCATCGGGTTTAGGACTCTTTGAGTTCGGGAGGAAACGCGGAGCTTAATTTAATTGTTGTTTTCAACTGCTTTATCGCGAACAAAAGAATATGCCAATTGTGGATATCAAAAAAAATTCATCATTTGCACATCTTTACGGTTCTAGAGTTTAAAAGATGAATACTTTCATGCGTGGATATCATCAGATCTCGACAGAAACTCATATATTTTCTTTTAAGATTTTTTGGTCTTATCGCTTTGTTCGCAGATTTGTCAAGCGCTTGAAAACACACTTTTCTGATTGATGGTGTGACTTTTGTTGTTCAATTTTAATTTAACGCAGAACAACTTTTTTAATATATTTACTAGTAAACACTTAGTTTCTGAGAGACAAATAACTATTTGCAACAGTAAAACAAAGTAGTGTTTTTGTGTGTTGTTTGAAAATACTTTTGCAAACCAATCTTTTTTATTTTTTAACAAAAAACTTAAAATGTTTAAATTTGATTTTAATTGGACAAACCAGGCTTAATACTCGTACTTTAAACTTTTTATGTTCAATTTTAGTAAAAAAGACATAAATAAATATTAATTTAAAATCAAATATACGTTTATATAAAATACTACACTGCAACAACAAATTATTTTTCAAATAAAGCTTCGATCCTACATTAATAAAAGTGATCACCTGCTGGACATTTTTCCATTTAATACATTTATAATTGAAATCGTGTCTGTGGCTTACTTTTAACATATTTTTGTGTTTTTTTCAATTTGTGTCAATCGATCTGTTATTAGGTATTCCTACAAATTGTTATTTTTATTAAAGAAAATATCAGCAAATAAATCATGTTTTTTCAATACTAATATCTTAAGGTGGATTTAAGCTTAAATAGCTAATACCTTTCATGTTGCCGTTAATATACGCTCTTCTACATATAAAACACGTCGTCAATCACAATATATTTTATAAGTACATAAATTATTATTGATAGTATCTTGGAATTTTCTCAATTTTGACATTACTTTGTCAAATTTCTTTATAATAATTTCTGAATTTAGCAATATTTCTGATCCAATACTAGTGTCGGAAAAATGACAACACAAATTTTATAGTTTAAAAGTCTCGTTCAATTAAATTCTTACTCCCTAACGGTCTCTCGAATTTAAACTACGACTTCGATTTTGTCTATAAAACTCTTGTCTTAATAGCTGTTAATGCAGTATTTATATAATATAGCATTTTTTTTTAATACGACGGTTTGTATGTTAGCTACGAAGTCACAAATATGTTCTACGAATATTTGTTTCTCTTATCTCTTTGCACCCCACTGTAAAATGGTAATGTGCAAATAACTTATACAATTAATTTTGGACGATTACCATAATTTCCAGTTTATCTTAGCGAACGTTATGAAATCCAACTTACATCCGCTTCCTTATCCATCTAATAAAATGCCAGAGTTCGGTGTCATCAAATCGGATTTAATTATATGTCGAGATATTTTAGGTTTATTATTTATTAAGAGTGAGAAAAATTCACTTGTATGGTCGTAATTATATTTTTATTAACATGATGGTTTTAGGATTGAAATTAAATTTTTGCGAGAGAAAAGTGTTTATACACTTTGAGTTGCGAGTCCTTGCTTTTCACGCTTTCGTAAGCCTTTGTAATACGAGCACCAATTTTCACAATTGCATTCTTTGGCCAAAAATAAGCTACTGCATTGTAGCTGAATAGTTGCAATGAAAAATATATGACGTAGAATTGCAATTTTGAGCTTATTCTTTGACCGGATTTGTTTTGAGAGTTCAGCAAAGTAGCGTAATGACTATAGAAGAAATAACAAAAGCTTAGAAACTTTAACTTGTATTTTATTTCATTAAATCATTGTTGTTTATGTTTAATTCCAATTTTTGAATTTAATTATGCACCCGAGTTGAAAATAATTTGATTTTGAAAAGTTGATTTTGTGGTTAGGATTATTTACTTAAATTGTGTTTTATTATTTTATTATTATTTAATATTATATATATTTTTTGATGTTGCGATTGTGCCTGGCGCACAAGTTTTGGCACATCAGACATGGAAGGTTAATGATTGATGAGGCTGACAGCCTCGGTATAAAATTTTATGATCTATTTGTTGATTATAGGTCGTGTGTTGGAAAAAGCTTGTTTAATCGCGAACGATAATTGGTGCGATCGATGTAAGTTGTGCGGTTGGTAGGGATTGTTTGTTTTGTGTGATGTCTGTGCATAAATTACGTTCCTGAATTAAGTGGTGTTGTTCCAGAGGCCTTCCCGCGCTTCGCCGAGCCCATCCCTAACGTAACGGTGACTGTGGGCCGGGACGCCCTTCTGGCTTGCGTGGTCGACAACCTGCGAGCATTCAAGGTAAGTGGGGTCGGAGTTGATAGATTGCTTTAGGAAGGATTATTGGATCTCGCAAACGACGAGGGACTGCGTCTGAAATCGAGTTTTTTGTCTGATATGCACGAATCGATTTCATGGCTCGACTGAAAAATAATAACATTAGCGTACAACCAGCCCATATATAAACAATAAAGGAGCAGGAGCGGAGAAAACAAACTTGAAAATGGAAGTGCGATTCCTCCGAAAGGAGTGAGGAATTGTTCGTGAGTTGAATTTGCTGCGGGCTTTTTCGGGTCTCGACAGACTAAAGACGTGCACAGCTTCTCTGATTCCTAGATACCGGCAGGCCATGTTTTCATTTTACCTATCGTATACCTTTTACATCATCAGTTAGCGTGTGATCCTCCTGCTATACAACGACCCGTTTTATTCGATTTGTCCTGAGACCTGCTAACTATAATTCTAAATCGTGCCCGACTCCCAAAAATTAATAAGACGGCCGATCCTCAGCCAAGTCTTCCCTAATCCGCGATATCCGCCACTATCGTCCAAAGAATTAATGGAAAGCTTACCGATGCCCGCACGATATTTTGCAATAAACGACCGTTGGACCGCTCACCGATCCCCCAGAACAATGATTACTGCTGAAATTTTCAGCCCGGAACACTAACTCAAGTGTTCATTATTTAAAAAATGCTGAAAAAGTGCGAACATCCATTTACTCTCAGCTTGCTTTCTTCGCAAATATTTTGATTTTTTCAAAAACGATTAGTATTCATTGTATTAACACCAGCTTTTACCCTACTCTTTCAGGCTAATAATTAATCAGATACCAACTTGACAGTTTCACTTTGCTGATTTCAAATTTATTTCTGTAATTCCAATAAAACACAAAGATAGGTAAGTTACAACACCATTTATTATTTTAAATTGAATTAAATGAAGTCAACAGCGGAAACGATGATTAAAACGAATTTACATCAAAAATAAATTTAATTAAATTGTGAATTGTTACACTGAAACAGCCGCCTGTAAAAATACTTGAAATCGATTTGTAGCAAAGACAATTAGCATTCTAAACAAAACCTATAATCTCAGAGTAGTAAGTATAGTGTGTTAGAATGGTTATTGTAACGCGAAATGATCGTATAAACATTTTTTGGAACAAAGACCTAATTTTTATCAACGGATTTATTTATTTAATCTGCTGCAAAAAGCCTAAACATCGATTAAATTCGGACAATTAAAAAAAGATAATGACAAACTTTTTTGAATTTTTGAATAATTCATAAATTAATTGGAATTGGTTCCACTGCTTCCTTCACCTGAGAGATAAAACTTGACGTGAAATTAATTATAACGTAACAAAAAAGTGAAAACTGTTTTAATTGCGCATGCAGTAGGGCGACTTAATATGATTTCTGAAGACAAATGAACAACAATCGCTTAATGCCCTTATTTCTTCGAAATGGTGCAAACATCATGTCATCCAATACTATTGCCAAGCTACCTTAGATTCGACCAAGCTTAGTCAGCAAACTCTCAAGTCTTGGTTCACTACGTTCGGATATCTTTAGTTTTATCCGATTGGGTTATTTAATCGATATCATTATTTCCAATGATTTGACTGCTTACACAAATAAACAAAAAATAGAAATAGATATCTGACAATCATATGAAATTATCGTTTTCGCATATTGAATTCTAGCTGCAGGAAATGCAAACATCATCGCAACGAAGGTTGTGAATATGTAGGATAAAAGTGAAGATCGGTATATAAAACGGAAGCATATAGCCCGAAGAGTTAAAACACGGCCCCGTTAGATATTTGCGAGTTTTTAAATTTATTGAAATGTGAAAGGAGCAAATTCTCATTTAAAATTATTGAAAAATTCATGAAATGAAGTTTGCCCCCAGCTGCTTGGATATTTTAATAGATGCTCAAATTTGTTGATAGTATGACGTGGGAAGGCGAAAACATCGACTTTTCAAATGTATGTTAGACTAGACTGACTGTAACACCTAGGGTAGTTTTTAGTAAATTTGTAATATAGTAACGCTGATATTCTATTGTTGCGATTGGGACAATGGAATCTCTGGGGCATTTTCGACTTTAATGACGATTTTTATATAAGCTGACACATATAGACCCGGTTGAAATTTTAAGCATGTTCTTAAAATATTCATTCGGTATTGCAGTCGGTAAAATGCTTTCGGAGAAGCCGTCCCTCGATTAATCTTGCCGGTATTATAGCTCAGGCCTAATATCGAGCTTTCTGAATAATTTCGCTCCGATCCGACTTTCTTTAATTATTTATTTTCTTGATTTGCAGGTAGCTTGGGTCAGAGTGGACACTCAGACAATTCTATCTATCCACCACAATGTCATCACGCAAAACCCGAGGATATCGTTAAGCTACAACGATCATCGATCGTGGTTTTTGCATATCCGAAACGTGCAAGAATCTGATCGAGGTTGGTACATGTGTCAAGTCAACACCGACCCAATGCGGAGCCGGCAAGGCTATCTCCAAGTGGTGGGTAAGTGTGACCCTTGCTAGTAAAAAATCTCGTACTAGTTTTGCGATCTAAAGTGCCTCCCAGTATCGTGGACCGCGAAACCAGCTCCGATATGGTGGTGCTGGAGTCGACAAATGTCAGTCTGACCTGCAAAGCGACGGGGTACCCGGAGCCGTATGTCATGTGGCGGAGGGAAGACGGAGAAGACATCCGATACAATGGAGAAAACGGTAATTGCATATTTATGAATTTTTATTATGTTTCGTATTTTCGCGGATAAATTTTACCTTTACAATAACTGTGGATGAGAGCCCATCTCAAAAAAGGGAAAAGCGGAATTGGATACCGCAACCCATCACTTATACACTCTTATGTTTTTTATATAAACGGTTTTGCCTCTACCCCGCTTAATAAAATCGTTATCAAACACGAAAAAGCACAATAAACTGATGAGCACTCCACTTTACATACATTACAGCAAATTTCAAAATGAACAATAAAGGACTTATGTCGCAAAGTTATATTGCGACCAGATTTTCAACTAAAATAGGTATAAACTAAAAGTGTTACAAAAAACTGAGAATACATACAATTGCAGTTTAGCAGTTGGGTATGCACAACGTAAACATCAACTGTTTAGTTTATTACACTCAGAGTACAAAATATATAACAAAAAAATATAAATTTAATTCTTTCAGATGCCGGTTAATTTGCAGAGTTTAAAGTTTAGAGTTTGCTGTTAAATTAAAATTTATTCTGAACTGGGGCTTAAACGTGAACTGTTATTTTTATGTAGGTAGGTATTATTTGATTGTTTTTTTTTCAAAATAATAAAAACAATACAGTGTAAACAATTTTCATTCTAAAATAGCGTAAACAGAGTTGAAATATGATAGTGTAAGTTTTTGTCGACAGTATTTCTCTCTTTATAAAATATAGACATCATTACTGTTGTGACACAAATCTGAAAGCTGTTATCTGGCGTTCTCTAGAAACAATAGATTTTGAACAAAACTTCTGTTTTGTGGTTTGTATTTTAAAGTCTACCAATCTTTCGTTTTCTTTTTAATTAAAAACAAATATAAAAAAAATATGACATGTTGTTCAAACAAATGTCAACATATAACAAGTTCTTCAGTAAAAATTGTTCAAAGCTAATTGCTTTGAATACGAAAATAATCATACAATTTCGTCATGTAATTTTTACAAACACAATTTTATTTCAATATTTTTCACAAAGCTCAAATTAATATTGCCCGATTTTGGACATCTATTTACTTATTTGTAAAATATAGGGTGTTTCACACAACTTTACTAGGCTTGCGCGAAATGTACAAAAATCACAAAACACTAGATACAAAAAATTCACTTATTTTTGGAAACCCATGACAGTAATTGTCAAACTAATCATACTGTTTCATTAATAGTCATCATAAACTGCAATTTTTCAGAAACAATTATCATATTATTCTAGTTTACCTATCTTAATCACCAACTAACTAAAAACGTTGTAATTTTTCAAAGGGTGAACAAACTAGAGAAGATTATCCAATTTCACAAAATTTGTAATCGAACTCGATTACAAATTTTGTTAATGCTATAGCCTCGTAAAATTATGTGAAACACCCTGTATGTACGTAAACATTATGATAGAGTTTGAAAGTCTACATTACATTTATTCGGGGATAATCCACCTTTTAATCAATATGAAAGTCGCCTAAATGTTCATACCCTTGTCAATTGAATTTATTAAAAACGTTTGAAATTTGGTCGTTGCGACATGAGTTAGAATTTTAAAGTAGGTACTTTGTAATTACGTTTTAACATTTAACATAATCTATAAAAGTTAGCTTTTGATTATGTCGGTTTGTTATTTGTTTGTTCGTTAAAGAAATAACCTTAGTAAAAACCGCAAAATACAAACTTTTCTTTATTTGCACATTGCTTTAAAGTGCAAGTAAAATCTTTTATCTTTTAAGCAAAAAGACAGAACTAAAAAAAAGTTATTAAAATCTTTGTAAATTGGAAATTAGACCGTCGCTAAGCTCTTAACTAATTGAACTTACTTGTAACACTGAATGATCGTGTTTTGTCATTATTATGCAAATAATTAATTGCAAAAGTATAATTAATGTGTCCACTTACTGCATAAACAATATTGATTGTTTGAAGAACGTCACGAGTTTACTACAACATCCCACAAATCAAGAAAATTAATTATACTTTGTAATAGGGGCAATTTAAACATCCGAACTATAATTAATGTTAAATAGCCCTTACGGTAAATGATTAAGTGTCGATGAATTTGTACGGTGGCAGGCAAAACAAATTCATAATCGTTTAGTACGGGGGAAACTAAACCGCTATCCGAAAAGAGCACGCTAATTGACTGCAAATAATGTTCTTACAAACTTTTTAAATTACCTACCTCAGTTCTTCGTTAATTTTGACGACAAAATTTAGGTATTTATAATTGCTTAAATAGAGAATTAATTTTAATTAAGTAAAAGTTGTGTTTCCAAACTAATTACCAGCCAAATACCGATAAAATTTGTTAAATTGTAAATTTCGTACAATCATAAACGAGTGTTTACTTAGGTAATTTTAATAATGATTTTTCCAAATTCTTCATAAATGTGGAAGAGAAATGCATTATGATTGTTTATGTTCTTTATTTGCAGACTAAAATTAAACCTACTTTTTGTTCAAGTGATATTCAGGCGATTTATATGTGGCTGGCATTTACATATTCCAAATATTATTGAAGACACATATCCTGTTTTGAGTGTAAATGAAATTCTGCTAGACATTTGGAAAATGAACAAGTATTTTTACAACTTTTCAATTAAGTTAGAGTCTGACTTATACTGCAAGTTTGTATAATTTACTATAATTTTTAAACGAGAGTTTTCACAAATTACAGTGAAAATGAGTTAGTAACAGATAATTTCTACAATGTTGTGAATATCGAAATGCAGAATTATCTTATTATAAAATATAATAATTTTGTAGTCATACAGTATACATATTTGAATATTTAGTACTCAAAGCATTTGTTATGAGTACTGATTTGAAAGACTTTAAATCTGCATTTTTCAACAGGACTTGAACAAAAACAACAAAGGATTAGAGTAAAAATTTAAATTTAATCGGAATGAAGAAACAATTTTCGCAAAGTGATAAGGGAATTTATTTTTTCAGTATTGTTGACATAAGCGCCTTGAGGGTCTTTGTCCACGTACTGTCCTTTTTTTTTTGAAAACACAAATATTAGTAGAATTTTATATTCATCGTTAGGGAAAGCTGTTTTATTTCATTTTATTGTCCATCGGCATGACAATGTGTGCAACTTTCTGTTTCAGTGAACGTCGTCGATGGAGAGGTATTATTTATTACTAAAGTTAGCCGGCTTCACATGGCCGTCTATTTGTGTATCGCCTCAAACGGCGTTCCCCCATCTATAAGCAAGAGGGTTCAGTTGAAAGTACAATGTAAGTTTTGTATGCATTCGCTAATATTTCCCAATGTTGATTTATGTTATGTGTGTGTAGTTCCTCCGATGCTATCGATTCCGAATCAATTGGAGGGAGCTTACATAGGGCAAGATGTCACTCTCGAGTGCCGCACTGAGGCATTTCCGACGTCCATCAACTACTGGACTACGGAAAGAGGAGACATGATAATCTCAGGTAGTGGTATTTGTAGAGGGCTCTTTCAAATTGCGTGCAATAATTTAAATTTTGCAAAGAGCGGCAAATGTTAACTCTGATGGCATACTGAATAAACAACAATATTAGCAATGCCATCAAAGAACTTTGAATTGCACATACGAGTTGCATGGATATTTATTTATTATGCGGTTGGAACTTTCATTTGCTAGTCTGTAGTTCGTCGACGTTTACTCACTCATATTTAGCTTGGAAAAGCCAATTGAAATATTAATTTAGGAGGCTTGGGAAGACTGAAATACATCTTTTTATCATCTTCTGTTCAATTATTCAGAGGCCCGCAATTGCATAAAATATTTTAGTATAAAGCTAAATTAATGATACAGCCTATCTGAACTGTAATAATTAAAATTTCTTCTCGTGAACACTGTTTTGAAACATTGTTTTTGTGTAAACTATTTTAGGCTAAAATAAGCCTCAGCCGGCATGATTAACGACTGCCTTGATTTATATACCCCTATTGATTAATCACTACCCCGTACGTACAAGTCCACTTAAGTGCTACTTGAGTGCGTATAAACTTTCTCTCAATTAACTGTCCATCCCCAATTCCATAAATAATTACTCCGACTTTTGTGTCACGAACGGTAATTAATTGACGGAGCATAATAAACGCCGAGTTTCTATTAACCAACATCTTTTATGCAAGCCATTTTCTGATTTCCGTTTTTCGCGCCTCCAGTGAAAAAGTCTTGAACATTTAATAGAGTACTTGTGGATACTTCTCTATTAAATACTTAAAATAATTACAAAAAGTGATAGCCGAACAATCATAAAAAGCTATTTCTTCTGTTTCGTTGACTCTTTATTACTTTATTGTTAATATTTTCCAGGTGATAAGTACGAAGCAGTATCTATGGATAATGGCTATAAAAAATACATGATGTTGAAAATTCGACGAGTCAACAAATCAGATTTCGGCTCCTACAAGTGCGTTGCCAAGAATTCCCTCGGGGAGACTGACGGCGTGATAAAACTGGAAGGTAAATTTTCCAAAATCAATAGTTTTATCAAACAAAAAAAAATATTGTGATTACAGAAATTCCAGCACCGACAACACTGAAAACAACAACCCAGTTTCCGTCATTACCCACGAAAAAGAAAGGTAAGAAACCGAAAGCCGTTTTGTATCATTTATTATTTCTATCGTATTTTTCTTGCCCGGGGTAATAAACTCCTCCATCGGGAACTCCTACGGTTGGTGACGTTACTAAACATTAAAACGTCGCCAATTACACTCATTGCACGTTTTGAATGAGCTTTAAAATGTTTTATGTTTGCTAAATGATTACCGGGAAGCTATGTGAGCATCTTCGGGGAGACCTAAGTGGTTTCGTGTTGTATTTCTCCACAACACTTTATTGAACTTGAATAAATAAAAGTACTTAAATATTACGAGTGCCGATAATATTTTTACGAAGCAGTATATCGTAATTGAATGTAATTCGTGATGAAATGTGTGTTTAGGTAAAACTCGGGCTGGAGATAGATTCGGACGCGGAGAAGCTAACAACCGGGTCAATTCACCTCCCCACTTTGACGATGCCGGAATGTCAGGTGATTTTACTCTCATTAGTCTTCCAGAAACATTTTTGCTGCTTTTACAAAAATCGTAACACGGATTTAAACTTTTTGTCGGCCGTATGCGGGCAACAGAATAAGTTTTTTCTGATTTAGGCTGGTATGTTTAATTCGTGTTTCGAGTCAACGTTTGTGGCCTCTTTCACGTTATGCCAATTAAGTCGCTTAAAAATCAGAAAAGATGGATGCACAAGTGGAAAGTGGCTACTTAATCTTTCAATATTGGTGAAAGTGGTCTTGGGTTCAAGCAAAATCAGATTATCATAACTCAGGCAAGCTGACGTAGAATCTCGCATCTTATCGATTTGGCGCAGTTCTCCACATCTCATCGACAATAATGACGTTTATGAGTTGTTGAGCGTTTGAAAACTATCACGGTGTAGTAAACACGTTATTGTTTGCAACGGACATCGTTTCAGAAGCTCTATTTCTGATAGCATTGCTTCCGTTTCAAGTAAACGTGCTTGGATATGGTCGGCTGCATTGGCATAGCGTGTTCATGCCGAGCATGTTTCAGCTTATGTGCATAAACGATTAATAAAAGAACGTTTCAACTGTTGCGAATGCAAAATTTGAATTCCGCAGCGCCGTTTGCTATTGCCTACTTACGGAATCGCGTTCGCGTTTCAAAAACCGAGCAACAACTCTTTCCGCATTACCCTTTAATGTAATTTTGTTGCAGAATACGACGATGACGGAGAGTTCACTTTGTCGTCGAACGGCTCTCCGCCGATTCAGGAGCCTCCGGGAGCTTTCAGCGGTGCAACGCGCACTGAAAACTTTAACTGGTGTATCGGTGGTGTTCTCGCGATGACATGGATATTCAGTAAAACCCTGAGGTGATCCGATATATCCAATTAAAAACTACACGGAGAAGATTCGTGGTGATAAAAACATATCCAGTGCGAGAGACTGAGTTGTAAATATGTACAAACAGTGCTGAAGTTAGATAATAACAAAGTTGTGTATACAATTGCTGCGCTACAGTGTATATTAGAAACTGCCTAAATTTGAATAGTGCGTGATATTACAATACATGTATGTAGCATAGTGTCAAACGAATCAATAAAGTTTAAATAACATTCTACAACAGATTTTTCTTAGATTTCCAGCGACTCAAACTCTACTATGACTCAAATCATCACTCCATTCTATAAGAAAAACTTTTAAAAGAAAATATTTGCAATACAATACAACGATAAAAATATTCAGTACTTATCTACCTAACAACAAAAACTTGTACAGGGTGTCTTTGAATTGTGTGCCATAATCTTAACCTTAGTATATCAACTTGAAAAAAAACTCTATAGTGATATTTTGAGATGTCGATCATGACCGAAAAAATACCATACACTTGATTGGTCACTGAAATAATGACGTCAAAGTAAGCATCAGTGAATTTGATAATAATTAAAAACGACAACAAAAATCTACAACCTACCGACTCAAAAACATCTCTCAAGGCGTTATTTTTATTTTCATACTGAAATGTTCATGCACTAGGTATGGCTTTTCGTCAGACCAAAATTCGGTATTGTGAGAATTATGAACTCTACTTCGCGTAAATGTGACTTTATCCGTGGCTAGAACTATTGCCGAAAAATTCCGATTTATAACTATTTTATCGAGGAACCACTGACAAAAACGCACTCTTCGCTGGAGGTCTATAGGAAGAAGGGCCTCGACGCGACGAATATGATAGAGGGATGTAGCTCTGCGTCGTGCAAGGTTCGCCACACAACAGAGATACACCAATTTGATGTGCAATACGTTGAATACTTGCACGGGGATTTTCGCCGACAACGTCCAAAATTTGTTTTTCGGCATCAAGTATTCAATCGAGATGGACATTTCTTTCAAAACGTCCGTAATTGCGAAGATGTTGCACAACTGCGACAAACGTACGACGATTTGGTGTTTACCGATTTGGAAATCGCTCTTGATAAAGAGTACGGACTAATTGAGCATTTCCAATTATAAATTCATAATTTTCATGTTTAAATCACGAAAATACGCGGAACTCGTGTGAAACTCAACCTCAAAAGTGCAGTATTGATAACAATAAATCATAAAAACGAAGCGATTAAATTAACAAAAAAATGTTTGTTCTTGCAATACTTAACACCTTTGCGTAACTAAACATTTTTGGATGAGACAATTTAAGCTAATTCGGTAGTTTTTTCAGTGGCCCGTTACGTGTTGAAGTTATGGTAGTATGTTGTATAAAACTGAATTAAAAATTATAACAAATTACGTATGACCTTTCTTTGATGTAATATTTGTTTGCATTTGTTGCTTACACAAAACAGTTTCCATCTTGGAATTCAAAATTATCGAAATTTTCACAATCAAATTATCCACATTTACAAAAAAATATTTGTAGTCCTGAAATAAAATATAAAGTTAAAATAAAGAAGCTTCTCCATTTTATTCGCTTCACAGTAATTTATATTTTATAAGTTCACAATAAGAAGATAATTAACAAAGTGGATTTAATTATAAACCTGTGTAGGACATTTCGTATTTAATTTGTTTGGACAATTTTAAAATTTACGTGAGTTGCATAAAAGTCTATTTTACTATAAATAAAATAAAGAAACAATAACAAAAAGTCTTGAATAGAGTCAATATTTATTTAAAAAAATTAAAGAAAAATTGCGTTGAAGAGATAAAAAAGAGTATGAAAATGATATCGTTTTCGGTAAATAAATAAGAGATTATAATTAAATTCATGATTTTATTACTCGTTTTCCAACACGGTAAACAGTTTTCCCATTTAGAAAGGAAAACTTTTAAAGAGTTTAAAGAGTAAGCTTTAAAGGATCATAAATATGTTTTGTAATAAGGTCTCGTGTACCTACCTACGTCCCCTAATTTAAGTTAGTGTTAAGCATCCGTGTCATTTCACAAGAGAAGAGAGCAAACAGTGCATCAAAGTGCGGAATAAGTCTTCATTGGTCCACTTAACTCCGCATTGTTAGCATTCCGCTCGCGATTTTGCGAACATATCTTTTTCAACGCCAAAATAGTTTTGTTTCGACTGGCGATTATTAGGTACTTTAAATAGAGTCAGGTCGGAAGGGTCGCTTTATGTTTTTTACGAGCGTAGCTTTCTCCAACGACGTGGTGAATATATGCAATCAAGTGTAATTAGGATTCGAAGTCGCGAAATCGTCGTCACCGTAAAATTTTCGGCACGTAGCTCGTCCACAGATCGTTCAGTTTTAGATAGATCGAATTCTAAAAGTAATATTGGCGTGTGTACTCTAAACGAAATCCCGGCAATATCCCCGGCTGGCGTAATATCTCGCTGTTTTTATAGGGTTCGAATCCATATGAGCGAGCAATGGCCCGCGCAAGCCGCGACCTGACGCCTGTTTTCGTCATCATCGGCCCCAATGTGGGCTGCCGCCCCTCCTGGTACGGCCCACTGGCACTCTTTAATGTGTCACCCAGACCGGCGGCAGTATTATAAGTTTGCTTGAAAGGCCGACTTTACTCCGCTTTGCCAGGATAACACGTCTTTATTACTTTACTGCAAACATGATGAAGCAGTTTTCAAAATATTTAGCACCCAGCCAACCACCTAAAACATTCAACATCTCCAAACATCAACTGAAAAAACACGCAGAAAAAATTAAAATGCTTAAGTCCGCTGTGTTTTATTTCCCCATTCTATTATTAATAAAACTGGAATGTGTACCATCATTTAATTCTATTATTTAATTCACCCTTCACACTCAAAATCCACAAAAAAACCATCGCAGAAACCGTTGTAAGTTCGAAGATTTAAAGTTATTGTTATGTCTTATATCTTATTCTTATTCTTGAAAAGTTAGCAGTGAAAAATATTTGGTAAAATTAGAAATTAGAAAGAAAAGTATTACGTTCTTATTGCAGTTAAAATAAAGCAATGATGGCCAAATTTAGAAGAAACTAATTATTGATTTTATCGCTTACTGGTCGATAAAGTCTCTACTAAATTATACGGTCCAAATCGCCCCGGCTGATAACACCTAAACTTACTTCTTTTTTTCAAAAAGTAGATATTTAAGTAATAATATTAATTCTTGGCTTTCTTAATAAATGTATCAAATTTTTTTAGCACATCCGGTGTTGCCAAATTTAGTTTTTCAAATAAAACACCTATATTTTTTTCCTCGAAACAATAATAATTAGCATGAAAAATACGGTAAACCACTATTTATTACATTTTGCGTAACACAATGCAATCAGAAAACATCTTAATCTTAGAATTTTATAAGGAAATTGGTCGCGTAGCCTAATTTTTAATTTTAAAGGAAAGGTGTGAATAAAAAAATGCTTGGATACAGTTTAATTGTTGGTTTGACAAATCTAATTTGTCAGTTGATGAGCGAGTTCTCTTATGAAAACTCTTGGATTTTCTTCGACTAATAACAGAACATTCAGATTTCTATTTTCTTGTTCTTCACTAAGAACCACAGTTTTTTAGTTCTAAGAAGCGAACCTATTCGTCTCAGTTGTTTTTCAATTCGACTAGATATCCAACCATTTGGGTGAACTCTATTTGGGTATTTTCCGCTATAACTGTCTTTTAGCTTCCGCTCTATTTTTATTGCATTTAAGAAACACTTCAAACTGATCTACCACTTCGTCGTAATTATTATCATCCATTATTGAAAATCTCAATAAGATTTATTGACAAATTAGGCTTTGTCAAAATAACAGTTAAACGGTATCCAAGCATATTGCTTTTTGCATGAATACCTTGACAAGTAAAATCCGCCTACGTTGCAAAATTTGCTAATAAAATTCTAAAAACTAAATTGTTTTCTGAGTGCATTATGTAAAGTAAAATGTAATAAATAGTTGTTTTTTTCATGCCAATTACTATTGTTTCGAGCAAAAAACATAGGTGTTCCATTTGAAAAACTAAATTTGGTAGCATTTCTGGCTACACCGGATGTGCCAAAAAAAAGATGCATTTACTAAGAAAGCCAGGAATAAATAGTATTATTTGAAAATTTAATCTTTGAAAAAAAAAGTAAGTTTAGGTGTTATCGGCTGGGGCGACTTGGACCGAACAGCCTGTATATACTTGGAAAGTAAAATTGATGTATTTTTTAGTTTAAAGTGAAAATTCTTATACATATTAGCTAAGTATCTGTTTCTTATTAGATTGCAGAAGAGTATTCTTAACTTCAAATGTTACTGTGTCTTGAGATCTTTCTCCACCGGAGACATTTAGACAATTTTATTAAAATATGTTGTCTACGCGGGTGGCGACGAGGGTGCTGTGCATGCATTTATAGTCCCTCCGACAAAAGCTTGCACTAGCTTATTGGATTTCATTTTCGATATTTTCCGAGTATGAAAACAAAGCTTTGCGCACCTCGAAGTTTTCTGCAACCTTGCAACAATTTCAATTATCATATCTAGGGGAACGAAAAACATTCCATAAAAATGAAAAATTCTCTTTAAATACGAGTTAGTTTGCTGAAAGTTTTAATAAAAATTGTAACATTCAAAAAGAGAATGCATTCGTCTACGTATCAAAAATTAAATTAAATTTGTTTGTTGCGGGCTAAGACAAACAAATAGTTGCCTAAGGAATGAAAACATTAAAAATTTAAAATTTACATCAAGCAAGAGACTGAAAGCACTAAAGCTCGGTGTTGTACAGTAACTGCATGTTGGTTGTTTGGATGAAGTTACTTCTGCTGAAATTAAAGCTTGTGGAAATAGTAAGAACTCAGGTTTATGGAACTTCTCAAAGAACCGGATTAAACATGCTGATACGTTTGTAGAAAACACCATACATTTTTTAAGGATGAATTTGGATAAATTAAAGTTTTTTCTGTGTTGAAGTGTACTCAACTTTCAACAAAAAAACTAAATGATTTTTCTAAAGATGTGCAAAATCTAAATATTTTCCACTGTCCGTCGCCGTCGCGTCCCTAAGCGATCATCAAATTTTTGATCTTTTTGGGTGTTTATTGATTTTTAACGGCACTGGAAGTGTTAGGATTATTTTGAAACCGGTCAGATCTTGTAGATTATGTATTTTCTGCACTTCTGGAAAAAGGATGGATCTCTTATTATT